CGGTGGCGGTGGCGGTGGCGGTTGGGGTGGGGGTGGGGGTGGGGGGCGGGGGTGGTGGCTGCGGTAGCGGCGTCGCTGCCGCCGCTGCTGGTGGGACTGCTGCTGCTGCTGCTGCTGCTGCTGCTGCTGCTGCTGGCGTGGCTGCGGTGTTGGTGGTGGCCCGGCTGGGCATGATCGGTGGTGGGGGTCGTGGGTGGGGGTGCTGGGGAGACAGGGCTCTAGTAGTAAAGGCCAGTAGGAGCAGGTACGAGGAGCAGGTATGCAAATAGTAATCCCCAAAACCAAAGACACCGCAAAAAAAAACATGCGAGGCGAAGGGCTGTCCTCCTGTCACCTAAAGAGGCGTCACTTGCCGGCAGGACCTGCTCCAGTCCTTGGCAGAAGGCTGCGCCAAGAATAGAAAAATATGCCGGGCTCCAGTGCCTGTTCTTCCAACAAATCCGAGATACTCCTGGAAAAGTCCTAATGATCCTTGATAAAAGTGATAATGATGACAATGCCAATAATCAAATACAATAATGGCATGGGACATGGTCAGAAGTTTTTCCAAAGTACCACATACAGCGCAAATCATTAAACACACAATTTTAGTGGATGCTTGTAGCATGGTCCATTCCCCTCATGCAGCCAAGAAAGTTTCACGCCATGCTCGCCAAGCCTCTGTAGAAACTCACCAGCAGGTCATCCTTAGGCAGCTGCCATCTGTTGTGTGATGCTGTGCGCTTGAAAGCTGATCGCGGACACAAGGCTGCGACCTCTACACAGGTCCGATGCATTCAGGCCTGCATGTGTGCTAAGCCATCAAGCAGCGAGGTGTGCTTTTGCAGCGTCTCGTGTCAGTCGTCTGTCCAGCAGGTCTCGTTAACCTTGCAGCGCCGCATCGTCTTTGCAGGCAGTGCCTTCTCCCCTAATCTGCCTGGCTGACTGTTTGTCAGCGATGCCCCTGTACAGTCTGAGCAGCAAAAGGCGACACCCAACCTTCGAGGTGACACGATTCATGCTGCTCACGGCCTGTGCCATCCAAGCCCTCTGCCATCCATCCAAATACACTTTCTCCCATCTGCTTGTGGTGTTGATTTTTGCCTGCCTAAGCCATGCTAAGCCCTGCCTCTCTGCGAGCCCCACTTCCTTCCAGCCTGTTCCAGCCCCCAGCTCTGCTTGGCCACTCTCGGGCGCACAGTGCACGCGGTTCAGGCGCCGGGACCTTTGCGCTTAAAAGCCTTGCTTGGGCCTGGAGCTGGCCAAGCGAGGCGCTTTCGGCCGTAGTCCGAGTAGTCCACGCAGCGGCACAGCTTCATCCCGCACTTCCGGCAGAAGTCTCCCTGCTGAAGACCCTGGAGCCTCACGTCGCCTTCCGACTGTTCAGTGCTGTAGTCCAGGATCTTCTGTGGCTGGGACTTCTCGTAAGCGCTGTCCACTAAAGAGCCCTCGAGCGCCCGCCTCCTGCACAAGGTGTTGGAAAAATCCGATACCACGGCAGGAGACAATTTGAGCAAAATTCCTCCAATCTCCTCACCTATTAATACCTATTAAATCCACAAATCTAAACCCACTCTCCCAAACAGTCACCTGCTGCGCATCTGGATCATCTCGTCTGCAGGTGGGGCTGTCGGCTGGTTGCTAGGTTCGCTAACCTCAAGGACCTGGGAGAATGACAGAGCAGGTGCCGTTCGCTGCTTGCCGACATGACGTGAGACGTTGTAAGACTTGCTGCCACTGATTTTCGGGGCGTTGTCATTTGGAGTAATTGTTTGGGGGCTATGCAGCAGTGCAATTTAGCTTCAAATTGATTTAGACTGGGCTGATGCATGGCCGCTGAGCACCTTCACCACTGCGCCATCTTCATCACACGATGTCTCAGACAGCTTCTCTTTGAGCTTGTTGTAGATACCTCGGAAGAATCCAGATCTATAGAAAGACTGGCTCGGTTGGCAGATAACCCTACAGAAACCTCCAGGGAATATTGCTGTCGGCCTGAAACCTAGCCCTAGCCCCGAAGCAATCACGCAACACCCTCCTACTTTTAGGAACTCTGGACTTGGCGAGCCTACTGCATTCCAACCATTGCCCTATGAGAAGCCCTTTTCCTGGGAAATTCTCAATCCCAGCGGCGCTCGAGCCCCTCTGGCTTCCTCGGATCGACTGAGGTCTCCTTGCCCAGGTGGGGCTGCAGCGCCTCTATGCAGGGAGTCGTCTTTTTCTCCACATGTGCCCGCTCATCATTCTGCTAATGATTCTCAGCATTATCTTTAATGACCGCAAAAAGAACTATCCGGCATCCTTTTGTTACCATGATCATCACCACCATGACCATCGTCATCGTAACTGGCATCATTAATACTACACATGTACATGTCAATATTCAACTAATCAAGACAAAGTGTACAATGCTGATGCTTTTTCCTGGGGGGCGACTCTGAGTTGAGCCTTTGCGGCCCTACAGCTTCAGGAAGACAGACAACTTAGGGATTTCTGCATTTCAGTGCTTTGGGCTTCACAGCTTTTCTTGGCGTCACATTGCTGGCTACGCTCTTTGCGGGCAAGGCATTGCTGAGCTCATAACAACGAGCAAGAGTTCAATGTTGGGCAGGGCAGTTGCAAGTTGAAAGTGGCAAATGGCAGTGTAGTGATGCTGGCAGTAGTAGTAGCAGTAGTAGCAGCAGCAGTACTAGAAGAAGTAATAGTAACAGCAATAGTAGCAGTAGTTAGCAGGAGCAAGCCGCCAGCACCTCTTCAAATATTGCTCTTGCTACTGGTTCTGCCGTTTCTGCCCGTACTGCACCTACTACTCATACTCCTCCTCTTCTTTCCGCTACTACTGCTTGCAATCAATACCATTATCATGAAACTTCCGTCTTGCAGTTGACTGCCCAGAGCTTGCGCCTGAAAGTCCAGAGGCTTTTCGACAGGTTCTTCTGTGGGAGCCTCCTCCTGGCTCTCCTTGGCACTCGGGATACCAAACCAGTGGGGCTTTGGGGCTATGGGGCGTTGGAGATCTGTTTCAGACCCGCACATTTTGGCCGCAGGGTCTCTCGCCAGACTCGACTCTACACGAGGGTGCCTGCAAATGCCGCATCTTACATATAGGCAACGCAAAAGCGACCCGCAACTTCAAGCAGCCTGCAAATTGCTGTAGGGGCTCGCAAGAAGTGACCACACTTTACTCTTGAGAAACACCCAAATCCTGAGCTCTAAAGCGTGTGCCCGCTCCACCTAGTTGCTCCCATCAGTCTCACTTGTTGATACCTAAGTCCATGGCCGTGGTCCTCTCTCAGCACTTCATACTATGGCTGCCCCGCAGTCGCTAGAGGTCACTAGCAAGCAGCAATACCCCGTTTCGAAAAACTACAACGCCTGTTGCTGGCTCAATTATTCACTCGGATTGCTGACAAGAATCATCTTCAGAGAGGAAGCCCAATGCGTCCCAAGCATCCATCTTCGGCCCACAGTAAGCATGCTCCAACTACGTCGTTCGCTGCGTGCACTTTTGTGGTTGAGAAGTCTGCTTCTTTGCATCCCGCGCCTTGAAGCAGCTACGTCGTGGTGCAATTGAACCATGCCATGTCGCACCGCAGAATGGCAATGGCTGCAGGAACATATATTAATATTATTAATTAAAATACTATGAATATCAATATCAATATTGATATTAATTTCATTATTGAAGCATGTGCTGCCTCGGCCTACACATCCAGCTATTCTACAAATCGCGGGGCTCACTCCTCATGCCTGACATCTTTAGGCCTTCAATATGCCACCCACGCGTCCTGTTGCATCCGTACCTGTACACCGCCATCTGGTGCAGTGGGTACTGTAGCTATGGCTGCTTAGGAGACACTTCCCAAGGCGTGGCCACCACACACTAAAGCTAACAAAGACATACTGCCAAACACACGGGCACGACGATACTACTTGCTCGACAGGGACTACACACACATACACACAAGATCATACTAGTGATGTGTGAAAGCCGTGCAACTGGAAGTCTGAGGCTTGGGCAGCCATCCAGATGAAGGGAAGCCGGAGGATTCGGCCCGAGCCTGTACTGCTATGGATTTTACATTCATGCTTGCTTATGAAGCCTTCAAACCCCTAAGCTTCAGAGTTTATGATGCCTTTAAAAACCTCAGGGTGTGAGGTTTAGGGTTTTAGGCTTAACTAAACCGTTTAAGGGGGCTCAAGCTTTCGCGGTCCTTGGTCTCAGAGTTTTCTGCATCATCTACGAAGGCAAGAGAATGGAAAAACAGCTTAGCAGCAACGTTCGCTGACCACCTCATTTCTCAAAATCGGGATCCCCATTTCCCCATAGTCAACCCCTTTGAAGAAGAACTGCGATTCCGTTCCTCCAAGAAAAGCCTAACCCCTAAACCCTAAATGGTAGCTTCCATGCTCTTTTCCATTATCCGTATAGAACTCCTATACCCTAAACCCTAAACCCTAAATCCCAGCTTGAGAAACCCCACCTCTCTCGAACGCTCCTGTGCAAATCCGCTGCACTGCCCAGCGAGCAAAGCCAATGGCGGTGGCTCCAGGCCTTCCACTATTAAGTTTATGCTTTAGGGTTTAGGGTTTGGGGTTTAGAGTTTGGGGTTTGGGGCTTAGGGTTTAGAACTTAAGGATTGAGGGTAATTAGGGGTTATATAAGGGCTATATATAGATAGTCGAAAAGAAAATGGAAGCTACCATTTATTAGGGTTTAGGGTTTGGGGTTAGGATCATATATGGAAATGAAAATTTCGGGTGCCTCCGCGGAATGTTGCACTCTGGCAACATTTGTGCAGCTTTTGAATATAATATTGCTACTAGGGCACCTGGGTGCACACAAGTGATGCTCCTTTTTCATGTATGCGTGCAATACGGTCCCCTTGCTGGAGAGCCGTGTGACCTTGCTTTGGCACACATCCCCTTTGCAGGATGAGACACGCCGGAACTTTTGTCTTGTGGGCTGCCCAGTATTTGGATTCATGCGTTGTATGCCAGGCTGCATAACGGGAGCATCTTTTATGAAGAGTGGAGTTCATGAGGCTTTGGGATCAACGCCTGGACTTTAGACATGAAGTTCCCAGTGCAAGCATAAAGTCACAGTTGCCAGCACAACCCTGAAGCCGAGGACCATTGTACAGCAAGCTTCGCCAAGGAGAAGGCAGCAGTTGACATAATAGTAGCCATAGCAGGCGGTGGCCGTGTTGATGGCATTCGAGGGCGCGGTCGTCACGGTCAAAGTAGGAGTGGCAGCAGCATTGGTGGCATCAGTAGCAGCCCCAGTAGTCGTGGTGGTAGTAATAGCAGTAGCGATAGCAGCAGCAGCAGCAGCAGGAGTAGTAGTAGTAGTAGTAGTAGTAGTAGTAGCAGTAGTTGTGGCATCATCAGTGGCAGAAGGTGGACGTAGTGAAGGGCATGGTGGTGGCTAAAGCAGAAGTGGGAGCGCACGAGACAGTGCTTCAAACGGAGGAAGTCAAGATGTGGGTAGTTGTCAAAATTATGGTCCCTTTTGTGGTACCCTAAATATTAGGCGCCGTATTATAATAGGGATCCAAAAAAAACATAATTTTGACAGCCACCCATGCAGTGGCCAGTGGCGGTGCTATACATCGTACTGTCCATTTAGCTTTCCAGGTTCTCTTCAATTTCATTCTCCGCTGTTGGCTTCATTAAGGTTCAGGGTGTAGGGTTTAGGGGTGCCGTGCCTCGGGAGTACCATCAGAAGAGCATCTGGCCAGTTTGACCTCAACAATTGTCATCCCGGGTCTAAGGGAATAGAATCCCTAGATAAGCTATAGCCGAAACTCCCAGTATCCCGCTTAGCAGCCCCTACAACACTCCCATATAGAATCCCCTATATAACGCCTTGAAGGAGTTTAGACTATGGCTCATATAGCCCCTATCCATATATCATGGATTCCCTTATTCCATTCCCTACTCATCCCCAGCAAGCTTGTCTGTGCCGAGGAAATGCAATTTTCACGTTGCTACTTAGCAGCAGAATGCACCGTGCATTCCAACCCCCAACATCTGCCGCAGAAATGCCCAAGAACCCCGACGAGCCTGTAGGCAGCTTCTTCCTGGGCACACGAGATCTACAAATCCCAGCTAGGAGGCGTGCAGTGCAGCGGCAAGCACTGGGCTGCCCCTTCGTTCATGTGAGCTGTTCAGAGGACATTGACACGTGCAGTAGCAGGCATGTGTCCTGAGGCTCCACCACGATGACAACCGGGGACCCACCTTCCGAAGCGGTAAGGAAACAGTCGGCCCGAGACTGGTTGCATGCAGAGACGCTGTCATCGATGCAGCTGTGGTAGGGGTAACCGGCGAGTATGTAGATAGAAACAAACAACGCAAGGACAAAAAGGAGACAGAACGAAATGGAACGAGAGGAAGAGGAAGGGAGAGGGGGGGGAAGCGCGACAGAAGAGAGTGCGTGTGTGAAGGGCAATTGGCGGCGCGCTCATCTTTTTTTGTGGTGCCATGCTGGGCTGGCATTCTCATCCTCAGGTCTGTGTATGACTTCAGAAACGGTACTCTTCGGTCCGAGGTGGTAGCCAACTCAGCACAAATCCCTCCCAGAGGGGGTGCGTTTTGGTGGCGTTGACCATATAAATCCTGCATTCACTTCTGATTCTAGCCAGTCAATCTTAAACGCCGGCCGCAGGATTTATAGTATCAACTCTATGAAATACAGAACTCCGTTGACAAGCAATCGCAGTGGCAAGGCAGTTGCCTTTAGCCGACTTCGACATGGGACAACTGTGTGCTCCAAGTGACCCTGCGAACTCTCTTTGAACGTGAACGTCCAGCTTCTTTGAACTTCTACGGGTGGGCAGATCTAGGCATCTCTCATAGTTAGCTGAGAAAGCAGGCAGCTTGATCATCTACAAGCAGAAGTATGACTAGGACTTTGAGAAACAGCATGGATCTTCGGAGCACACCACTGTCATAGGCAAATGCGAAGCACCTGCAAAAGGACGCCAACTGGTCTCAGTAGTAGCCCCCCTTGCTCTTGCCTGCCAGATTGCGGCTGCGAACTGATTCTCAGCTAACTTCCATGACAGCTACACCCAAACTGAGGGGTTTCCCATAATGAGGATTATAGTCTATATTGGGGTCGCCATGTTTTTGGAAACTACCAAGTATGGAATCCAACTCCTTTGCCCTGACATTGATCACGCTGGGTCCCTGCTCCAACGTGGCAGCCTTTGCCCTGGCTCTTTCCCTTGCTGCTCGACTTGCCTAAGCAAGGAGATGTTGTGCAGTCGCCATACCATGACAGAAACAATCTCCATTAACATGGCAGTGATGGCAACGGCACAATTGATCACAATTTTTGGCAGTAGTGAGATTGGTGAACAAGGGTGGCAAGTTCGACGAACGACTCCAGCTACAGGCAGGTGAATAGGGTATTTGCGAAATGGGTATCGGCCAAAATGTAAATACACCGTCCCACAGCACAAGAATCCTCTCGTCGATGGCAAAGACAACGAGAGGAAAACACAAAAACAAGGCAACTGCTGCTGCGCTGCTGCTGCTGCTGCCGCCGCCCGTTTTCTCTTGCCCTAAGAATTTTCTGTTGGCTTCACAGAAATCCATTGAAAACATATACAAATCTCCGCATTCGATGCCCCCCCCCCCCACAAACCCAGGGCCGAGGTGCCGCCCCAGTCATCATAGCCTTTTGAGTTGCCCTTGCCCCAGCCTTGGCAGTTCTCAGAACCCGGGTTTAAGTTTTAGAGTTTATGGCTTGGGGTTTAGGGTTTCAGATTTACACCCTCAAGGGCTTGACGACATAGGTAGTGCAGTACAGTCTCTTAGCTTGTAAATCTGACTCGCGATTATGATTGCATTGAAATCTGATAAGTTGTCATGATCTGGCATAGATATGACCAACCGAACTTCCAAATGAATGCTCAAGAGCGGTCAAGCAGCCCTTGCTGGTTCCCTTGGGCTTGCTGTAGCTGTCCTCCTGGCAGGCAGAGTCTTGGTAGCACAGCCCAGCAAAGAAAAAACAGATTGGAAACAGAACTACATGGAGAGTCACTGCAAAAAAGGACCCATAGTCTAATCTCCTGGTACCCTAAACCCTAAGCCCTAAACCCTAAACCCTAATCCTGGTATCCCCCTTAATACCCACTATAAGAGTCCCCTACCTCGTCCCCTCATCTGCCTCTCTCAGGCAAAACCTCTTACAGGCAAAAGTAGGCTAGGGTAGGCTGTCTGCCAAAGCAAAGTATCCTGAGGGTTTAGGGTTCAGGGTTTTAGCGTTCAGGGTTTAAGGTTCAAAGTTTACGGTTCAGTTAGACGTGTTTTGAAGGAAATCCGTCTACTAAGCGCCCTGTCGGTATGCAGGAAATGGGGAAGCACGTTGCAACCCTTGTGCCTGGTAGCCCCGGCTGCTGTAGGACTTGCTTTTGCCTCGCCAAAACACACACAGCGATTGGCAATGACATCAAAAGCAAAAACACCAAAAATCAAACCGCAAACAACAGTGGAACTCAGTATCCAAAAGCCTTTTCAAAGTTTCTTACTTTCCCCTGGGAGTCGCAATAACTGGCGGTGGGCTGAAGGAGCTCTTGATCTCCAGAGGCCTTCTGACACAAGAAGCCAGTAGGGATGTACACCTGAACATACAAAAACTGAATGAATTTGAAGAAGTGCAGAAATAGTCAAAGTTGAAGTGCTGCAGGCAATGCTTTAAAAAAGGCATGCACCGGCCAGAGCATGCCATAGCACCCAATAGCATGCTATAGCAGTGGGAAGGAAGCAGCAGCCACAACATCAACGGACAAGAAAAAGCAGGAGGAGAGGAACAACAACAGCAGCAACGGATAATGGGGACTTCGGATTATTAAAGGGGGTCGTATTAGAGCTAAATCAGGCCTGAACGGAATAATATAAAGGGGGCCGTATTAGAGCTAAATCCGGGCTGAACGGATGAATAACAACATAGAAACGGAATAGTGCATGCTAGTTTCAAATTCAAATCAATTGAA